GAAGACCCATGGGGACACATCAAAAGAGGACCCAGTCAGTGGCAGGAAAGGACAAGCCTAAGGAAGGTCTTTACCCGTTTCCTGCCACGTTGTTCAGGAGCAGGATCCATAGCAGCACTTTGATTCGGGAAGCGTGTATTTCAGACAGTTAGGTTGGTGTCTCAGAGGAGACGGGCGCGAGAGTCTGCAAGTGAGGTGTGTGGTTTACTTCTGCCCACATCTGAAGGTGTGTTTGGAGTGACAGATGTGAGGCTCTGCCATCTCACTGTCACACCAATTGCTCACTGTTCTGAGAAGGTCACATTATCACTCATTAGCAATAATTAGTCCCCGGGGACCTCTGCACTTCTTCACTCAACTGCTCCATTAACTTGGGTGCGAATCACACGTTCCTGGTGCCAATCAGTGAAGATCTATCGGTGCTGCACAAGGTGACGTTATTAGTTACAATATATTAACCGCCTAATTTAAAAATAAAAAAGCTAGCTTTATGAAGGGCAATTAACCACTAAGTGTAATTGATCATTCATAAACCTCTGATTAGGAAAGACAAATCATAAGTAAGGAATGAATCACCTGGGCTGGAGGAAGGCAGGGTTCACTGTGCTGTGAGCATATCTTCAGTTTTCTTCCTAAATAGCTCCTGGCAGCTCCAGGACTGGAATGGTCCAGAGGCTCACTAAGCCTGTCTGATTCTGTGGGGGATGTAAGAGGGGCTGCCCAGTTAGGGACAGTATAAGAGAAGAAGCAGGTGAGGTCACTTAGACTTTTCCATCAGTCACTCATTCAGCAAATGTTTATAGAGGGCTTGTGTGCACCAAGTGTTCAGGATGCCATGGAGAACTGAACAGACCTGGTTCTTGAACACGTGGGACACATGGGTCAGGGAGAAGGACAATAAGCAACTATATAAACCGGACTTTAGCAATACTGAGAGAGAAGGAAAAGGAGATGGATGGAGATGGATGAGACTAACATCAACACAGGATGGTGAGGAAGCAATACCAGACTGGACCTGCCACCTTTCCCACTTGCTGTCACCATTGAGGGTTGTATGTGGAGTCCCCCTACACTCCGGTAGTGGGCGAGTGTGTGGCTCATCCCTGCCTTCTCAGCTGTCCTCCACTCCAGCCCCACCTTCCAGTTCCATGTCCCATAGGGCGGGGCCCACACCTGCACTGTGGTGAGTTGCTCTTCCCTTCTCTTACTCGGCCAGCAAGACTCTGTGAGCCTGGATCTTTCAGGAGTCTTTTAGACCCGACGCTAGAACGTAAGCTTTCTTCCCTCTGCAGAGCTCCTGTTCTGACCCTCGTGGGGAAAGGTAGAGAACCACCTACATCCCCAGAGTCTCAGTCTCAGAAGGAGGAGAGAATGTCCCAGACCTTTCCAGGACTCAGTTTCCTCAGCCATGAAGTGGGTACATTGATGTCCTCATTGGGTTGAGTTGAGTTTTTTGGTGGGTCTCACTGGCCGTCATAGGAAGGTTAATTTCAAGCCACAGTTCTGAGTAACTGGGTCTAATGGTGTTTATCACCTTGGGATTACGTTGATTGGGGCCACATATATAAAACAGAAGTTTGTTTGTCTAGCATACACAAGGCCACGGGTTCAATCCCCAGTACTGAAAAACAAAACAAAAAACAAAAGTTTGTGCACATTCCTCCTTCATATGTATGTTTATTAATAAATTATTAATTATGCATTTAATACTGTATTAATGTACTGCTTAGATTATGGAAAATATCCAGCTTGGAAGGATGTGTGAGGGCCAAGATGTCTTCCTGTGTCTTTGGAGAGCAGTGCAAAGGGTGTGGTTCGGACGTGTCTGCGAGCAGGGCTGGGTGGCCATCAGCAGAGTTGGTTAACTTTGCTAGGTTTTTAAAAAGTGCCTCCCCCAAAAACAGACATGAAGACCAGTGGAACAGAATAGAGGATCCAGATATGAAGCCACACAACTATGAGCAACTTATCTTTGACAAAGGAGCTAAAAATATACGATGGAGAAATAGCAGCCTCTTCAACAAAAACTGCTGGGAAAACTGGTTAGCAGTGTGCAAAAAACTGAAACTAGATCCATGTATATCACCCTATACCAAGATTAACTCAAAATGGATCAAGGATCTTAATATCAGACCCCAAACTCTAAAGTTGATACAGGAAAGAGTAGGAAATACTCTGGAGTTAGTAGGTATAGGGAAGAACTTTCTCAATGAAACCCCAGCAGCACAGCAACTAAGAGATAGCATAGATAAATGGGACTTCATAAAACTAAAAAGCTTCTGTTCATCAAAAGAAATGGTCTCTAAACTGAAGAGAACACCCACAGTGGGAGAAAATATTTGCCAATTATACATCAGACAAAGGACTGATAACCAGAATATACAGGGAACTTAAAAAACTAAATTCTCCCAAAACTAATGAACCAATAAAGAAATGGGCATGTGAACTAAACAGAACTTTCTCAAAAGAAGAAATTCAAATGGCCAGAAAACACATGAAAAAATGCTCACCATCTCTAGCAATAAAGGAAATGCAAATTAAAACCACGCTAAGATTCCACCTCACCCCTGTTAGAATAGCCATCATCAGCACACCACAACAGGTGTTGGCGAGGATGCGGGGAAAAAGGAACCCTCTTACACTGTTGGTGGGAATGTAGACTAGTACAACCACTCTGGAAAAAATTTGGAGGCTACTTAAAAAGCTGGACATCGATCTACCATTTGATCCAGCAATACCACTCTTGGGGATATACCCAAAAGACTGTTACTCCAGAGGCACCTGCACATCCATGTTTATTGCGGCACTATTCACAAAAGCCAAGTTATGGAAACAGCCAAGATGCCCCAGCACTGACGAATGGATTAAGAAAATGTGGTATCTATACACAATGGAATTTTATGCAGCCATGAAGAAGAACGAAATGTTATCATTCGCTGGTAAATGGATGGAATTGGAGAACATCATTCTGAGTGAGGTTAGCCTGGCCCAAAAGACCAAAAATCGTACGTTCTCCCTCATATGTGGACATTAGATCAAGGGCAAACACAACAAGGGGATTGGACTATGAGCACATGATAAAAGCGAGAGCACACAAGGGAGGGGTGAGGATAGGTAAGACACCTAAAAAACTAGCTAGCATTTGTTGCCCTTAATGCAGAGAAACTAAAGCAGATACCTTAAAGCAACTGAGGCCAATAGGAAAAGGGGACCAGGAACTAGAGAAAAGGTTAGATCAAAAAGAATTAACCTAGAAGGTAACACCCACGCACAGGAAATCAATGTGAGTCAACTCTTGTATAGCTATCCTTATCTCAACCAGCAAAACCCCTTGTTCCTTCCTATTATTACTTATACTCTCTCTACAACAAAATTAGAGATAAGGGCAAAATAGTTTCTGCGGGGTATTGAGGGGGGGGAGCGGGAGGGGGTGGAGTGGGTGGTAAGGGAGGGGGTGGGGGCAGGGGGGAGAAATGAACCAAGCCTTGTATGCACATATGAATAATAAAAGAAAAATGAAAAAAAAAAAAAAATAAAAATAAAAAAAATAAATAAATAAAAAAATTTTGGAAGGTTAAGTTTTAAGAAGTAAAAAAAATAAATAAATAAAAATAAAAAGTGCCTCCCCAGCCTTCCAACGCACAACCTGGGGTCTTTCCTGTGACTCCACTCTGGCTCCATGCACGTGCTAGATATGACTGCTGCCTTGTCAGGTCCATATTTGTCCAGAGTTATGTGGTGATCCAGGCTGGAGAGCCAGTGGATCCCACCTGTCACTACCCCCACTCCCCAGCTTGTACTGCCCACCTGGGCTGCCTCCTCCTGCATGCTGGCCCCTTGCTGGTGGGCACTGGGCTGTGAGCCTCCTTTTTCTGCACAGATGGGCTGGGTACTGGCTGCCTCACTCTGCATAGCCAGCAGGTACTTCTTTGCACAACCAGGCTGCTTCCTCAGGAAGGCCTCCCCAACCTTCTCCCTGACCTTTCTGCCCCAGCCGGCCACCCTCTGTCTCTTCGCTGTTTATTCACAGCAGCTCTCTTCTCAGTCACAGACTGCTTTCCGTCTTGGGCCTTGTTAAATGCCTGCCTCCCACCCCACCCCCAGCAGTGGCCCGGGGAAGGTCCCTGCCTGTGCTCACAGCTGCAGCTCCACACCCTTGCCCAGTGTGCAGTGCCTCGCCATGTGCTCAGTAATTGTGTGTATTAAGATTGAATGTCATTTGATTGGCAGCATCTTTCGGTCTCTGCTTTGTGGCTTCAAATCTACTTACCCTAGTGCCACTGGGATGTGGCAGGTCCTGGTGACGCCCTAAGGAAGGGATGGGGGTGCTGCTGGCAGTCATCAACCCTCAGGGTTTGCAGAGCGTGGCCATCCTGGAACCAGCAGTGTCCCTGATGACCTCTGTGGCAAACCGTATTCATTGACAGTAGTGAGAAGACAAACCTCAGTTCAGTCCTTTGCCTATGTTCTTTTGGGGAGCTATGGCTCAAAGGCATGGACCTAAGAGCTGTAATGCAAAGTGGAAATGCCAGTATTGTGGAAAGACAAACAGAAATAGCTGTGGGTGTTCTAAGGTAACCTCTAGCCAGGCCAAGCGGGATCGAGTGGTGGAGCAAAGGTGCTAAGTGGGTCTCAGGGTGGGGGAAATTGGCACAGTGGAGAGATGATGTGTCCAGGCAGAAGGTATGGAGTGGTTCAGGAAGAGGAAGCTACACAGGCAGAGGTCAGGTGGCAGTGCGGGGGAGTCTCAGGTGTCCCACCGAGGAGAGGGACAGGAGGCTGTGGGATATGGTCTGCCATATCCTAAGAAGGTGCTTGAGCTATGAAATCCCCAGCCTAAATACACATGGAATCTGTCAGGACTACTTCAGGGACCCACAGTGATCTGTCCTGCCTTGCGATTTAACTAGTTACCCTTGGAGAAATGTCCTTTTCTTGGTCCCTTTCTGGAGGTCACACTCGATGTGCTGACCACACCCTCTCTGTGTTTCCCACCCCAGGTTGAAGCGGTCCCAACTGAAGGTGCAATTCTGCACCAACGAGTCACAGAAGTCCCGGGGAGAGCTGGTGGCAGTGCTTAGACGCCTGGGCTTTGACATCTCTGAGGGGGAAGTGACCGCCCCAGCTCCAGCCACCTGCCAAATCCTGAAGGAGCGAGGACTGCGGCCATACCTGCTCATCCATGATGGTAGGCCTGCCAAGCCTGGCACCTCATAAGGGGTGAAGGTGTCCTCTTTCCAGGGTATGGGCTAGGGAAAGGGATTCCATTCTCACCAGGGCCAAACCATCAGAAGGACACAGATGTAATACATGGCTTCTGCCACAATACTTGTGGGTCTGTGGGGTAAAGACCTTGTGGGGCTTCCTGCTGGGGCTGGGAGTGCTTCATCCATCCCATAGCCTCAACAGGTTGTTAGAGGCTGGCTCCAGATGATCGTGGGAGGAAAGCCTGACATGGTGTGCCTTGATCTAGGCTGGACCAAGGGGTCAGAGTGTTGCCCAGATGACAAAATTCTAGCTCCAAGACAGAGAAGGAATGAATATGAAATGTTAGATGGAGGACTGTAGCTTTCCTGTGTCTGGCACCATAGCCTTGAACTACATCTGTGAGTTCTGCCCCACTCTTTGGTGCAACTTGCATATGGCTGAAGGGGTTCAAATCCAGATTTTAGACCAATTGCAAGGCGGAGCTCCTTGAGCCTCACGGGGGAGAGTTTGGGAGTAAAGCTGAAGGAGCAGTATTACCTGCCACCTTCTGAATATTTAAACCAGAGACATTAGCCATCTTCAACATTCAGGACACTTCTCTGTCCTTCCACAGAGCTCACTTCCTTCCTCTGTACTTGATGTTTTTGTTTTTTCAAACCACTGGGCAGAGGCAGATTGCTCTGCTCCTTCCCAGGACAGCAGAGGGGCTGTCAAAGGAGGAGGGCACTCCCTGGAAGGCCCAAGGGTAGAATTCCTAGCCCTGGCACCAGTTAAGTGCAACATGCCCAGCCTTTCAAAATCTTATTTCTCACGGTCCTTTCTCTGTAATCTGTGATCCCCGCCAGTGTCTTTAGAGAGGAATTCTGTCCCCCTGGACCCCAGAAATGGGCAGTGGATTAGAGGAGCTAGGAAGGAGAGGGAAATAGAGCATGACCTTTGAAGGTGGTGTCAGTCAAGGAACCAAATGGGCAGCTAGCAGAGCCTTCAAGGATGTGAAGACAGATGCCCCTCCTCCAGTTGTCCTGTGTCTGCCTTCAGCAAACATACCTGTGGGACCTTTTTGCTTGTTTTTGTTTGTTGTCATTATTTTATTAAAATGAAAAGGATGAGGAGAAATATATCTAAAACTAATTTCTTTTGGGGGGGAGAGGGATGAGAGAAAATAATAGCAGGATGATCCTAAGACGCATTGTAAACATATATGGAACTGTCTCAGTGAATCCCCCCTGTAAACAAATATATATATAAATCCTGCTTGAGTAGCTGCCTGTAATCCTAGATACTCAGGAGGCAAAAATCAGGAAGATCAGGGTTTGAAGTCAGCCCAGGCAAATAGTTCCCAAGATCCTGTCTCAAAAAACCCCATCACAGAAAAGTCTGGTGGAATGGCTCAAGGTGTGGGCCCTGAGTTCAACCTAGAATTTTGCCATGTACACATCTCCTTTTATCTCTCTTCTTTTTAATATTTTATTTTAAAACTTATTTTAATATTTTTATTAACATACATTTGTATAAAGAGGTTTCACTGTGATATTTAAGTACATAATATAATGTATTTTGATCACTTTCACTCCTTCTATATTACTCTTTCTTAACCTCCCCTCCCCCACTTTAATTGTTTTTGGTGGTCTCCTATGCTCTTTTCATATGTTTGTACATACCTGTGTTTTCACACTGAATTTTTTTCAAATTTTATTGTTGATGGATCCCTCCCTAACATTTTATTATGAAAAATTTCAAACACATAGAAACTCCAAAGAATTTGACTTGGATGGCTGGAAGTTGACTCAAGAGGTCAAGCACCTGCCCAGCAAGTGCAAAGCTCTGTGTTCAAACCCAAGTACTGTCAAAAAAAAAGGAATTTTACTTGGGATTTTTTTTTATACCGAACTCATAGATGTCATCATTGACATTTTGTGGCATTTTCATCTGTGTATGTCTATCTGTCCCTCCATCCATCTTCCAGCCATCTATCTATCCATGTTACTTTTTGAGTTCATTTCAAAGTAAATCACAGGCATACGTCGCCTAAATGCTTTAACATGTCAGTTTTTTTTTGTTGTTAATATAAAATTCACATACTATGAAGAGCTCAACCTCAGGTTTACTTTTGCTGAGTTTGACAAGTGTGCGTACCTGTGTAACCCAACCCCACCAATGCCTATGCTACCATCACCTGAAGGCTTCTGCACCTTTCCAGTCAGTCTGCTCTCCCTCCCCATTATTTGACACTTTCCATTATAAATAGGTGTACCTATTCTATAATGATTCTATTCCATATGAATGGAATTATACAGTGTTTAATTGTGCCAGGGGCCCCTAAGACCAGTCCCTAGCTTAGTGATTTCCTAGAAGACCCAGCAGAGTTATGGTTAGTTACAGTGAAAAAACACTAAACTCAGCAAAGGAAGGAGACACACGGGACAAAGTCCATGAGAAACCAGGTGCAAGATTCCAGTTGTCCATTCATGGTGGAAGTGCCTGGGACGTGCTTAACTCTTACCAGAAATGATGTGTGACAGCACAAACGTTGGTAACAGGGAAGCCCCCTGAGCCTCAGTGTCCAAGGTTTTGTTAAGTCAGTCATGTAACCACAGTCAGTAGCTACCCCATTTCCAACCTCCAGACATCAAACTGACCCAGTGTGGCCCAGGGCCTCAGGTGTACAGACCCCTATCATCAGACAGGACATTGCAGGGCCTCATAGGGCTCTCCCCCTGAGCTGGTGGAGGTGGGGTCCTGAAGACAGGCCTTTCTCTGGAGTGAGCAAGCCCTGCCTCTGATTTAGCCCTTTCTTCCACAGCGGTCTTTTGCATAAGGCTTCTTTCACCGGTGTGAGATTTTTGAGATTCATTGGGTCGTATCAGCGGTGTCCTCCCGTGGCAGGGTGGATCCACTGAGTGAACATACCAGTGAGATTATCCACTCACAGTTGGTGGGTACCTAAGTGTTCTCCAGTTTTAAGCTATGATAATAAATCTGTAGAGAACACTCCTGTATCATTCTTCTGAGTCAATACCTAGGAGCAGAATTGCCAGGCCATAGGAGAGGTGTGTGTCGAGTCTTATAAGAACCTCCCAGCCCTTTCCCAGGAGGACACAGAGCAGCCTTTCCAGCACTTGGTGTCAACATCTGATGTGTAGGAAGTGGTCTCATTGTGGCTACTTCCTTTTTTTTTTTTTAACCTAGAAGGTCAACATCTGATATCAAGAGAGTTGAGAGCATGTTTCTTCTAGGAACTGAAGATATAAAGCCAATGATTCTATCCTTGCAACCTTCCCTACGTTAACTGAAAATGGGGGAGGACCAAAAGGAGAGAGAAGAGACCTTCCTGAGGGGCTGGTGAGCAGCCTGGTGGGTGGAATTCTGGTCCTTCTCAGGTGGGTTGATGGCTCTCACCTCCTGGGAGCAGCAGTACCAACCCCAGGGTTGCAAGCAGCCTCGTTTCCACCAACCCCAGGAATCTGTGTCCTCCAGGCTGTTTCCCATCCTCTGTGCAAAGCTATGTGTTTCCTGCCTGTGGTACTGAACTGAGGGAGCCCCTGGGGCTAATGCAGAGTTTGGGTTGGGGGCCCCAGAGTGGGTCCATCCTTTTTGTAATAAACTCTCTGTGGGCAGCCAGTCTTCTTCATCTGTCAAATGAGAATAACCCCTTCTTTGTCCACCTCCTGTGGTAGCTGTGAGAAAGGAATGACAGCTGTCAAAATTAATTTAATAAAAAAGAAAAAAAGCTGGGAGTAGGCCATGTCATTCCTGGTTGATGGAGTGCTTTCTGTCTCTTTCTCTCTCTGTAGGAGTCCGCTCAGAATTTGATCACGTTGACATGTCCAACCCGAACTGTGTCGTGATTGCAGATGCTGGTGAGGGCTTTTCTTATCAGAACATGAATAAAGCCTTTCAGCTGCTTATGGACCTGGAAAACCCTGTGCTCATATCACTGGGGAAAGGGTGAGTCTGGGCTGCATTGGACCATGGTTGCGGTTCTCTGACACAGAGTCACAGAGAGAAGGATGAGACAGGGGTAAGGGGTGAGCACAGGGTGGCCTTCTTCCTCTCTCCTTTGCACTTTCTCTTCGTATCTTCCTTCCTTTCCTTTAGTAATTTCTTCGGAGACCTCAGGAGCTCATCAGTCAAGCTTCATGTGAATCCTGGACTAGGAGAGGCTGGGAATGGTGCCGGGGACATCAGCACAGGGAGAGGCCCCATGGAGATCCTCGAGGCCAAGTGCTGACGGCCCCAAGTCTAGAGTAAAGGAAAAGATGCATTGGCGTAGGATACAGCACAAGACGTTTAAGAATGGTCCCAAGGGACACCCCTGTAGTGAAAAATGGGTTTGAGGGCCTTGATGCTGTGGTCTGGACACTGAGCATCTCTGGCCTCTGCAGAGTTGTGATTTTTGTCACCAGCCCTTTGTCTGAGCCTCGAGTTCATGCCTCACAATCCACAGCAGTCAGCTGTAAATCACTCAAAGGTTTATTGGGGCTCATGGTTTCAGAGGGTTCAGTCCATCGTTGCTTAGCCCCTTGCTTTTGGCCTGTGGCAGCACAGTACATCATGGTGGAAGCATATGTCTAAGGAAACCTGTTCATCTCATGGCAGCTGAGAAACAGAGGGTGGGCAAGCAAGTGCAGGTCCCAAAATCCCCCTCAAGGATCTGTCCCAATGGCCTAACTTCCTTTCACAAGGCTCTGCCTCCTGAAGGTTCTACGACCTCTGACAGTGGCATTGGCTGGAGACCAAGCCTTCAACACAGGGGCCTTAGAGGGACATTTAAGATACAAAGCATTGCACCGTCCCTTTCTTTAAAGAAACAACATTGGCTGTTTTCTTTAACATCTTGTCTTACCACCAAGGTAGCACAAGTTCACTGAAGAAAAATTAGAAAATGTAGATAAGCAAAAGAAGAAAACAAAAGTTATTTTTAGTTCCTTTGCCCGCAGAAAACAATGTTAACATGTGATGTATGTCCTTGCAAGTGAATCCTTATAGATCCCTATAGCATTGGTGTCAAACTTGACCTTGGTTTCCTTTTTTTTTTTTTTCTTGTTGGTACTGGGATTTGAACTCAGGGCCTCAGATTTGCTATGCAGGTTCTCCACAACTCGAGCCTCCTGGCTTCAGACCTCGATTCTCCTACCTTACCTTCTGCATAGCCGGGGTCAAAGGTGTGCACCAACACTCCCAGTGTTTTTGTTTGGATGGGGCCTCACTAATTTTTTGTCAGGCTGGCCTTGAACCGCCATCCTCCCAATCTCCACCTCCAGAGTAGCTGGTATTACAGATGTGAGCCACCTTGCTTGGCCTCGACCTTGTTTTGTCACCTGTTTTTATTGTTCACTAAACAATACTTTACAAACGACTTGCACAAGATGACTGGATGTCTCTGTCATTCCTGTTGGTGGACGTGAGATTGTCTCTGATTTTCTGAGGCTGTGGTGAGCATCTGTTGTGTCAGATGATGTCCTCAGAGACAGTGACAGGGCAAGTATTTCTTACCTGTTGCCCAGTAGCTTTCCAGAAGCTGTAGTTTGTCCTGCTGTCAGCAGAAGCAGCACTGGAGCCATGGAGTACCAGGTCCTTGAGGTTATAGGAACTCCTCTTAGCCCAGCCCAGCTTCTCAGGCCACGCAAGCCTCTTGAACCTTCTCCAAGGAGGTGTCCCAGCCTTGGTGCTGCTGGTGATGGAGCCCTCATGGTGCCTGCCTGCTGAGCAGTGGCAGTGACCTGAGCAGACAAGGGTGGGACATTTGGTCTGGCCATTGCTAGACAGCTGATGTGCTCTGTTTCGTTCAGTTCTCACCGTGACCCTGGGAGCTGTAGGTGGCAAATGGAGGCACAGGGAGCTGAGGTAACCAGTGGTCCCCAGGTGAGTACTGGCAGGACCAGGATGCTACCTGGCCTGGTCCTACGGCCTGTGCTTGTCACCTCTAGGCTGTATTCTAGAGCAGAGATTTGGTCTACACGAGACCTGAATTTTTTTTTTTTGAACCTATATTTACAAGTTGGGAGATTTTATATAAAATACCCAGATTTCTTTTGAAGACTTAGAGAACCTGACAGCATCAAACCCCACATTCCCGAATGTATAACGGCCTGAACAGAGCTATTTCTTCCTTTAGTTACAGTTCCCCACAGACTCTACCACTCCCTATTTTCCTGTTTCCAAGCTTCAAAGTCAGTTGTCATCTGTCATGTGCCGTTTGTTGTTTTTCTTATAGTACAGAAATATTTCTTTATGCTATGTTTCTACCAAAAATAGATAATGAAAGATGTTTCAAGAAAGAAAAGAGAGCTGGACTTGGTGGTGTACACCTGTAATCTCAGCACTCAGGTGGCTGAGGCAGGAGGAGTGCAAGTTTGGTGTCAGCCTAGCTACATAATAAGACCTGGGTTCCCTTCCCCACACACACACACAAAGAAAAAAAAGAGAAGCTGCATATTTATGTATTTTTAGAAACTGAAAATTCCTGCTGTGTTTATTATGTAAATGAAATGGGTCTTATATTAGTCAGAGAAACAGGCGTCTATAGGATATGTCTTAGAGAGACTGGCTGTGGAGGCTTGGGAAGTCTAAAACCCACAGAGTAGGGCAGCAGGCTGGAGGCTCAGGCAGAGCTGCAGGAGGACCATCATTGGAGGAATTCCTTCTTGTTCATGGGAGTTTAGTCTGCTAAGTCCTTCATCTGACTAGATATGGCCCACTTGAAGTATAAAGGGTGATGTTTGACTCAGACTCCACTGGTGTAAATGGTAATCTCATCCAAAACTCCCTCTCCCAGGGACTTCCAGAATCATGTTTGACCACGTATCTGATCACTGTGACCCAGCTAGGTTAACATAAAATTAACCATCCCGGTTCCCTTACACCGTCCTGTGATTTTGGTCATTGCTCTGAAACATATCAGAGCACCTGGCCGCTTAACCCACTGACCTGGCCCTTGGGTGTTTTAGTTAGCAACCCCACAGTGGAGATAGAGTAAGTACGAAGCCCTGTTAGGACTCATTTATGTTAAAGTGTTTTTATTTTCAGTGTTCTCATACCTGTTCAAAGTTAACTCTTCCAGGTTATGAGTGATAGTCGAAATAGGTGTGCTAATGAGGAAGAAAAATGCGATCAGGTGCAGAGGGCCCAGCAATGTAAGCTCAGCAGGGCCTCCAGCTGGTGGGTGTCTGACTTGGGATGTGGGTGGGGTGTTTATAAAAACAAGAAAAAGGACCCAACAACTTTTGGATGGGGTCACAGTTTCTCTGGTCAGCCCAGGGGCCCAGGTAGAGCTGTTGTCATGGTTCCTATGTGCTGGGGTGGCCGCTGGTGAGGGTGTAGGTAGGCAGGAGTGGTTAGCGCAGGGGCAGGGTGTCCCCCTCCTGGAAATGGAGTGATTTACATTTGACATCTGTTTGGACTGAGAGTGGGAATTGGCTCTGTAATTTCTTCTGTCATGCCGCCATCAGAAAATTAAGCTGTTTACGCGACAGACTATGGAAGGTTAATGGCTCTTCTGGGAAAGGTCAAGTGGTCATTTTGTAGGGAACTGGGCTGGAGGATCGGAAACGGCAGGAGAATGAAGCATAAAATCTGATCTGACTGCTCCTCTGGCCTGCCCCGGTGTCTGCCTGATGGCTGGAACACTCAGGGCCTACCGGGGCTGCTGATGGCTGCATTCTGCAGAAATGAAGGAGAAATACATCCTGTCTCTACCATATGGAAATGTATTCAAGACCTCTACCTTCTGTGCATCTCAACAATGTTTTTCACCAATGGTTGACTTCAAGATGACTTTGTGTTCTCCTGAATGAATAAGAAACACAGAAAAATTCTGGACTCTCTAAAAGCAGCCAGATTCAGTGAAAAAAAGAAACATTCAAGGTTCTGATCTTTTATTTCTGGGAGGCCGTGTTGTCTTTGGAGTCTAAAGATGAACATAAAAAGGGCGGGGGTGAGGTTATTTTAAGTCTTGTGCAGTTTTCTAGGGTAAATCTTAATCCAAGAAAGTCCAGGTGTCTTTCCCTTTCAAGGAAGCCTTGGAATCCAAGGCCAGCAGAGCTGTAGCCCATGGTCTCCTTGAGGGCTTTCCAAATGAGAGGGGCTGCACCAGTCCAGCCTGTCTCCTGAGCCTCCAGCCAGCCCCAGGACAGCTAAGAGATCCAGGTCAGGACCCTGAAGCCCCCAGAATCCTCAGCTCCAAACAGCTGCCCCTGTTACAATGGGTGGTTTTGTTTTAGAGGTTTCCTCTTGCTTCTGGGTGAGCATCTCCAATACTGGGTTGCAGTATGTCTTCCCTTTGGTCCTCACCTACCTACTTTTCATGTCACTTCCTTAGGGGGGACCTGCCTGGTCCCTGCTGTGCCTTCCTGTGGCCACCACAGCCAATCTTGCTTGCCCTCCTGTGGAGGTGAGAGGGTGAAGGGATGAGGGTTATGGCCTTTAGGGCCTGTTGAAGGCCCTTGTCCAGGGTGGCATGGCCCACTTGTGGCCTCAGCAGACCACTCTGGAAGATTCCAAGATACTTCTTGGGCCTGGACACTACTTCCCCTTTTTCTTAGCAAGGTGACCTCCCCATCAGAGCTGAGCTTTAATGTCGTCTATGGGCACTTCTCTGTTTCCTGGTCCCCTGCCTGTCCGTCTCCTGTTCAAGGGGCCTGCGCAGGGCACAGCCTTCCTTAGCATCACCCAAGTCTGTCTTTTTGATTCATCTGTGGGCCTGTCTGCATCCCCACTGCACTGGCAGTTCCTGGGGGCAGGCCTCAGTCTGGGAGTGTCCCCAAGTCCTGCAAAAGAACACTTATACCTGTCCAGTGCTGTCTGTGGGGATTGAGTATGGAAGCCAACAGTGGCCCCCGGGAAATAGGGCCTTCGGCGATGGTGGAGAGGCCTGGGTTCACTGGGAGACTTGAGTCCTGTCAGACAGGAGATGCCCATGCACTCAGCAAAATGCACTCCAGACTCCAAAGCCACCTGACTGGCAGGCGTGAGAGGCAGGAGCTAGCGCCTGGCAAGGCCTAGGGTTTGGCTGGAGTAGCCCAGCCTATTTCCAGCCAGGAAGCTGCCAGGGGGATCGGTGGAGATGCAGAGGGGCAAGTGGTTGCTTTGTCTGTGCCCCTGGCTGAGTAGCAGTGGTCAGTTCTGGCCCCTCCAGCCCTCCAGCCTTAGGCAGGGCAGAAAGGGATCCAAGGGGCCCAGGGGTGGCAGACCTGGAGAAAGCCCAGCACCGGGGCAGTTCCAAGGAGCTCTGTTCTCAAATTCAGAACAGGTCTGCCAGGTTTCTCCTCTCCAGGGTCCTGTCCTAGTGCCTGTATGCAGCCTGGGTAAGTGGCCATTTACATTCGTGTTCTCGATCACCTTTTGAGTAATGTCTGTGTACCAGGCTTCATGGCAGGAACTTTGCACGTGTTATTTTGTTCAAACTTCACCACAATCTATGAGATGGGTCATTTGTTTTGCCCATTTTACAGATGAGGAAACTGAGGCCAGGAGTGAATCTAGACATGGAAATCTGCCCATCTCACTCTTCTCTAGTCTCTACACACATGCTTAATTAATACCTCTAACTCTGGAGGACATGGAAGAAGAAGTGTCCTGTTGGCTGGCAGGACACTTAAATAACTCTAAACCCTGACCTCCTTGTCACCCTGGGGTTTCAGGGAGTCCTGTCCTCAGAGCAGCATGGGGGAACCCACCTCTCGGCCCAGGCTCTCTATCTACCGAGCATGGCTTTGCAGCTCTGGTCTGATGAAGAACTGAGCAGGCTGGCAGAGGGTTGAGGACTGCTCCTGCAAGCCGTGCCCATGTCATCGGGCCCCCACGAGGCAGAAAGAAGTCCTTGTCTTCTCAAGGAAGCATCTGAGAATGCTTCTTGACATCCAAGAAGCCTGGCGCTCGTTGACCTCGGCTGCGGGAAATGTGGCAGTGCGGTGGAACTAATGGAGCTTTCTTCAGGCATCGGCTAGGGGTTAATTATTAACAACTAGGGGCTCACTCCATGCTGCCATGCTGTGTGGGCCTGCTGTCCCTCTCCAGAACACAGGCCACTTGTCCCTCTCTGTGCGAGCACCTGGGTCCATCTGTCCCTGGGGTCCCTGGTTAATCATTGCATTGAGATCCCTGCAAGGCTAGTGGCAGAGGGCCACTATGACGGAATGACCCGTGGCATCGGCCCCTGGGCCTTGCTGTGCAACGTCCATTGGTGACTCTGGGCATGGTGTCTTTGTTGTCCTGCAGCCAGGACTCTGCTCATCTCATCCCTTCTGCTCTCTTGCAGACGCTACTATAAGGAGACCTCTGGCCTGATGCTGGACGTTGGACCCTACATGAAGGCCCTCGAGGTAGCTGTCCAGGTTCTGTCCCAAGCGCTCTTCAGGGCTGTGCCCTGGAGATGTTCCAGGTCTTTCTGGAGGACAGGGCGTCCCTAATATATAAGGGGCCCCTCATGTTTCAGAGGAGGCCCTCCTGTGAGGGGCACCTTGTTGTCATGCTGCCCTTCTCCCCCACCCTGCCTGTTCTCCCATCTTGCTCCCTGCTGCCCACCCTCGTCTGACTCCAGGCTTCTGTGACCCAGGTCATCAGCAGCACCTCAGGCTTGCTGTATCCTTACTGGCCTCCTTCCCAGCCCCTCCCCTCCAGCTTACAAAGCCATCTGTGGCCAGGCCCCAGAGTCCATTCTGACCCTGTCCCATCAGCTGTCTCTCCTAGGGGGTCCTACCCCAAGTCAGCCTCAGGTCACATCCCATCCTCAAATGGAGGATGAGCAGAAGGGCAGGAGGAGCCCTACCTCTCCTGGGAGGGCCTGTGATAGAGCTGGAGGTGGGCAGGGTGAAGGTGGGGGAGGGGCAAGAGAATTGCCTCTGAGCAGGCAAACAAGAGCCCTGGTCACCCAGCCCTCAGGAGGTCTCGTGGCTCTGTGAACTCTGGGTGGCCTTTGAGTGGATGGCAGGACTGGCGACAGGTGCCCTGAGTGTCCCAGGCAATAGTTGTTGAGTTGTGACACTCTTGCCTATGCGATATTTCTCAGGCCCACTACTTGCCTTATCAAGACCCCTGGCCCCTGGGACACATCGGGACAATCTTCCCATGGCTGGCCACACACCTGTTACTGATCTCTAACCTGTGCCTGTCCTGTCTTTCCCAGTATGCCTGCGGTGTTGAAGCTGAGGTGGTAGGGAAACCATCTCCAGAGTTTTTCAACTCTGCCCTGCAAGCGATGGGGGTGGAAGCCCACCAGGTAGGAACAGCAGGACTTCTTTTTTTATGATATCATGAGAAATTTCAAACATGCAAAAGCAGAAAGAATGAGACAATAACCTGCTGTGTCGTCAACTGGTCATTGTCCACACACATTCCTTGCTCCTTTTTTCTCTTTTCTGATTATCCTTTATAAATTGCAAAAAGTAATGGGTTTCATTGACATTTTCATAATACACACACACACACACACACACACACACACACAAAATGTACTTGGGTCTTATTCACCCCTTTCCATTACTCTCTCTTGTTCCCTCCCCCTGTACTCTTTCTCTTCTCATTTCTCTTCTCAAGTAGTCCTCCTTTTACTTTCAGGTCTTTTTAAGATCTAGATTCTGCATGAGAGAAAACAGGGGACACTTGTCCTTCTGAGTCTGGCTTATTTCACTTAACAGGATGATCTCCATTTCCATCCATTTTCCTGCAAATGACATGATTTCATTCTTCCTGTGGCCGAATAAAGCTCTATTGGGCGCACATACCACATTTATCTGTTCCTCTGTTGCTGGGCACCTGGGCTGATTCCATAACTTGGCTATTGTGAACAGTGCTGCTACAAACACGAGTGTATGGGTGTCTCTTACATTCATTCAGGTATTTGTCCAGGAGATACACACATTCCTTTCTTTTACCCAATTCTTTCTCTTTAAAAACTTACTTTTATTTTATTATTTTTTTATTTTTTTGAGATGGGGTTCTCACTGTGTAGCCCAGGCTGGTCTCAAACTCATGATTCTCCTACCTCAGCCTCTGAAGCACTGGTATTACAGGAGTGTGCCACCATATAAGATCCTACTGTCATATTTCAAAGTAAATCTCAGACCTTATTGTATCCTTTCATATTGTAATATGCCTTTCAAAACATGGCACATTTTTTTAATGTAAGCACAAAGTAATTGAGATCCCTAGATGGCCAAAAAACACATTTTTAAAAAGATGTCCGCACCATGGCTCCATCAGAGAACTGCAAACCAAAACCCCAATGGGACAGTACTTCATATTGTCTAAGATGGCCGTTAAAAAAAGCAAAGAAAGAAACAGAAAGTAGCAAGTGTTAGCAAGGATGTGAAGAAATTCAAACCCTGGTGTATTGCTAGTAGGAGTATCGGAGGGCCGCTGCTGCAAAAAAACATTTGGTGGTTCTTCAAAATGAAACTTATTGTCTGACCCAGCAATTCCATTCCTACGTGTGTATCCAGAATTGAAACAGGTGTTTGCACAAAAACTTGTAGGATGGGAGTGTAGCTCAGTGGTAGTGTTTGTCTAGCATGCATGAGGCCCTGGGCTCCATTCCCAGGACCACAACAAACAAAACAATAACCGCCCCCCAAAAAATCTTGTGCATGAATATTCACGGTAGCTATATTCATTCATAATCAGAAGGTGGAAACAACTCAAACACCTGCCCATCGCTAGATGAATGGATAAACAAAAGATGCTCTTTCCATATAATGGAATATTATTCAGCCATAAAAAGAAATAGGAATACTGATAGATGTGGCAGCACAGATGAGCTTGGAAAACGTGCTACATGAAGGAAGCCAGACACGAAAGGACATGTAATATCTGCTTCCATTTCTAGGAAGTGTCTAGGATGGGCAAATTCTAGGGACAAAGAGCAGATCAGAGGTTACCAGGGACTGGAGGATGGAGGGTGGGGAGTGCTTCTCGGCATGGGTCTCCTTTTGGAGTGACGAAAGAATTCTGAAACTGGATGGTGGTGATGGCCACACGATATCATGGACGCAGTTGATGTTGGCAAGTTGAACATGTGAAAGTGGGTATTGTAAACGTTACATGTGTATATTACCGTAATACACGTAAAAAACTACCTTGAAAAATCAACCTTAATTCCTGATTCAAGTTATCTAATGCCAATCTATGCTTAAGCTTCCCGGCTGTCTTGGTGTTCTACAGGAACACTCTGGAACGTGCTGGAGTCCTGTCCAAGCGAGGCTGTATCCTTTAGCTTCCTAAACCTGTCTTTTTAACATCCATCACGGAACATTTCAAATAGCTCCACGAGCACAGAGGGCAACCTGGGAGCCTCAAGGTGCACGTTGTGGGGCTTCAGTAATTATCAACTAATAATCACTTTGAAATTGTTCTTAATTTTTCATTTTGAAGTAATTTCATACCTGTAAAAAGTTGCAGAAATGATACAGTGAGGGCTGGTGAGTGGCTCAAGTGGTAGAGTGCCTGCCTAGCAAGTAGGAAGCCATGAGTTCAAACCCTAGTACTGCAAAGAAAAAAAGATACAGTGAATTCCTTTGTCCCCTTTACCCAGCTTCCAAATGGTGGTGACACATGCACCCTAATCACAGAACGGTGGCACAACCAGGACACTGCCATGATGCCAGACAAGTTATTGACTCAGAGACCTCATTCAGATGTCACCTGACCCCACTGATGGCTTTTCTGGGGGAACTCATCACATTTAGCTGTCATCCTGGTGTCCTTTACTCTGGAACGGTTCTCAGCCTACTTCTTGTCCCCTTTAAGAAATATCTTGAGGAAAGTGCTTCAGCCCTCTTTCTGATCCTTTCTCCCTCCTGACTTCAGCATCTGTCAGTAATTCTTACCTGGAACATCACAGCTCTGGTGGCTGCCAGTATTTCCGTCCTTCGTTCTGTCCTTAACTGGGTTTATGGTAAGGGAGCCGCCCCTTCTCTGCCACTTGTTTGTTTATTCCAGCCCTGACTCGGGGTATTCCCTTATCACATGAGTTACAAGCCACCCTAATACTTGTATGTTGTTGCTCAAATTGTCCCATGTATGGTTGTCGGGAACCTCTTCAAGTGGAACAGCTGCTTGTTTAAATCTTACCCCACCCACTCCCCCCAGGTAATTTCGAATCAAAGCCTAGAAGTTGTGTCTTTTCATCTGTGAATATCTCTGTGTGTCTCTAAAGGACGAGGATTCTTTAAAAATCAGCCCATAGACAATACCATTGTCTAAATTCAGTTATCAACAGATGCAAGTGAAGGCATTGCGTTCTTAACTGGTAAGTATGAGTCTTCAGTGCCTCTCTTTTCTTTTGGAATTCAGCTCAGGGCATTGTGCTTGCTTGGGAGGCACTCTAGTGTCCAGCTCCCAGCCCCTTTTGCTATTTTCAAATAGGATCTCACATTATGTCCAGGCCAGCCTAGTTGGCAGTCTTCCTACTTATGCTTCCCTTGTAGCTGGGATGATAGGCACTGCCACCACACCCAGGTTTTATTGGTTGAGATGGAGGCTGGCCTTGTACCACCATCTTGCCGATGTCCACTTCAGGAGTAGCTGGAACTACAGGTGTGAGCCGCCACACTGGCTGTGTCTTTTAATCCATCCATCCCTTCCTCCCTCTCTCTTGCAACTTTCTGAAGAAGAAACTGTTTGTTCTATAGTTTCCCACAGGGTGGCTTTTGTGAGCGGCGGTGCAATGGTGTCCTGTAACCTGCTTCCTGCTCTCTCACCTTCTGCATTTGGGAGAGTCAGAAACTTGACCAGATCAGGTTGGGTTTTTGTGGCAGCCTCCTTTCTAGGTGGTACAGTACCATTCCTCAGAGCCAGGGTGGGTGGTTGTGTGTTGATATGCTGTTAGCAGCTGTGGATGGCAGGTCCTAACGCCATTCATCCATCACGGGCCAGGACAGGGCGTCAATCCGTCATCCTCCTTTGATTCTTCTCCATGCTTTTGTTCAGAATTCTGTATCAGTTACTTGTCACCTTGAGGGCCAGGTAAATACCCATTTCCTTCCCTCGTGTGCTAGTTCTCACAGTACTGAGTTGGTCCCCTAGCATCTTCCCAAGTGACAAATTATCGACCAGCAGATTCAAACATACCTGACACATTTCAGTCTGTTGCAGTTACTGTCTTGTTGATGTTCCAGTGGTTTCATTTTTGGCCAGTGGAAGCCTCCTTGAGTTGGAGTCCATGACTTTCTGACCTGACTGCAGTGGCCTCTGAGAGGTTCCTCACTGCCCGTTAGGACAGAATGTTCCAGGCCTGCCTTGGGCATTTCCTGCTCTGGACTTGGATCAACCAGCTTTGTAAGGAGCTGTGCTTACTCACTGTGGAAAAATCATAGTTAAAAACCCAAATATGAATATGAGCATTTCTTATTGCTGCCAGGCTGGTCTCATTTTTGTTTATTTATTTGGTGGTACTGGGGTTTGAACTCAGGGCCTCACAATTGCTAGGAAGGTGTTCTACCACTTGAGCTGCTCCACCAGCCCTGATTTCATCATTTTTAAGCCTTTTTAATCAACAAGGCTCAGAAAAATATGTGTCTTTACACAGGAAACACATTGTGGGTTCATAGCGGAACTACCGGCTGGGATTTGGGCCTGTGGGTTGGCACTTAACACCTTTCATCTTCTATCTGTATTTCCCATTTCCTGACCAAAACTCCAGGTTCTCACGAATACCAGCATAACCACTTGTGTGCTTTAGCCAGTAATACACACATGAACCTTGAATGGCAGAAGTGTGTGATGTGAACGAAGCCGGACACCACCTATCCTCGCCACCAGTCCATGCAGTGCTCTGAGTGTCCTCTGTGGCCATCTTGGCAACGGGGCCCCCAATGACTGCGTAGGATTTTGGGATTGCTTGTGCCAGTGTCTGGTACGGTTTTTGGTTTTGGGTTTGTTGTTTTCACAGTTATTTTCCCCCTCACAGCATATTCTTTCTAGAGATTGATAGCCAAAACATTGTGTTTGGTTTTTTCCGTTCTTTTTATTTTTGTGCAGTTGGTGGGAATTGAACCCAGAGTCCCGGGCATGCTAGCCAGATGCTCTGCCACTTGAGCCACGCCCCCCGCTCCAAAGTACTGTGTTTTTTAAAGCTGTGAGCATACTTCCTTTCTGGATGGTATTCCCCCAACTGGGTCCTGTTGAACTCACTTCACTTTAAACCTTTATGGAAGTGGTTTTGCAACATTTAAGTGAGTTTCATAGTTCCGAAAAATATTTTTGTGCTTCCAAAATGAAATC